AATAAATCGGTTATATATTTAAAATTGTGCTTCAAAAAAAAATCGGGCGTTACTTTTGATGCCGACTGTACATGTATAATGAAATCTAATTTTCATTATGAGTGTATCAATATTAAATGGTATCAGATACAAGTTATTATATGTATATATATATATTAACTTACTATTTATCATAAACTTTGTGAATAATATGGTAAAATATATTTTTAATATAGATTCAGAAATGTGGAGAGTTTCCAAGTGAATTATTTTTTTAATGTTAAAGAATGGTCTTTATTTAATTATCTTAGTTAGGTAGTTGGAAGTGATGCCTGGGATTTTCCATGGATAAAGGAATAGACGCATAGAGATATAACATTCTTTTGTCTAGCATTAATGAATGCACAGGAGCGATTTCAGGTCATACATTTTAATATTATTTTAAAAAGAATATTCATAATTAAATCAAAATATATCTTTATAGTCACAAAAGTTGTGATTCGTTTGCATCTTTTTCTCTTGTGGTTTGTCTATATTTCTCTTGTGGTTTGTCTATATTTCTCTTGTGGTTTGTCCACGTTCTTTTTTGTTCATGTTTTTTTCTTTTCTCTTGCAATCTGCACACGTTTTATTTCTCATGATTTATCTATATATTTAATATAAAATGGAGATATTAAAATATTTTAATTTCAAAATATTATAATTAATTTTATATATACATGTAGTATTAATTATTAATTATTTAATTATTAATTATTTAACTATTAATTATTTAATTATTAATTATTTAACTATTAATTATTTAATTATTAATTAGTTATTTAATTATTAATTATTATAATACAGGTAGAAAAATCGTCAACTGATGTGATAACTTTCTGGAAACAAGCGGGAAAATTAAATTATTATGGAAAAGAACAAATATTATCACTTGAAGAACAAATCAAGTTATATGAAGAGCATTTTTCGACATGAAAAAGTAATTTACTTCAAGTTTTAGAACATGTTGACTCGCTTACATGAATAAATAAAACATCAGAAAGTTATAAATTAAAGGATGAAATTTTAATACCAGTAACGATATCGTTACCTAATATTAAAATAGTTAAAAATCCTGATTGAAAAAGTATTTTAGAGATCTTTATTAAGCAAAGTTCATTAGTATTATCTGATGATAATTCGAAGGATGGGTAAAATACATTTTAAATATGGGGGACCGTTAAAGCCGCGTAGTGAATTAATGCTTAAGTCAACTCGGATAATCATAATTATCCGGATGACTTAATGCACATGACCTATATCTATAACACATTCAATGATTGGCTGAATTCTGCATAACACCATCGCTATCAAAACAAAAACAAATGTCTTGTTTTGTGGTTTGACCCAGCAAAATTCTGGCTGGAACTCGCACCAACGAAAAGAAGCGCCAAATACTCATTAAAAACACCACCGCCATGAAATAAAATTGGAATCTGATCGCAACCTGGAGAAATTCGCAACACTAGCGAAACGAAAATGGCGGCCAAACTCACTCATAACAACTAACAGCTTACGCGACCGGTTTCCAGTTTGTTTCGTACCAAGTTTCCTGAATGTGAGTATTTGGCGTTCTTTCATTGTCGGGTGTCTAGTTTTTTCATGTATTCGGACACAAAAATTGGTTGGATATTGGGAGAAATATAAGCACCCAAAGTTGACTTATTTTTCTGGGACCACCAGTGTTGGTTAGGGTTAGTAAGGGTTCCCGGATTGCAACCATGTGACCAAATTGAATAGCCAATAAAAATACTGTATAGCGTTGGCTCACCAGTTGAATAAACCCACATTAAAAGTACTAGTACAATGTTCTTGTTGACAAAAATAAACTGACCAATTAGAGATTTTATTTGATTGTTGTTGACATTGTTAAAATTGATTTTTCAAGAGCACTTCCATCCAAAGACCCCCATTTCATCAAATATTCACCAAAGAACTCACTAGATCCGGTCGCGACGAAATCAACACGGAGAAACTGGACACCCGGGAACCCTTACTAACCCTAACTAACACTGGCGGTCCCAGAAAAATAAGTCAACTTTGGATGCTTATATTTCTCCCAATATCCAACCAATTTTTGTGGTCCGAATACAAAGAATGTTCGTCTTGATTAGGCGAATCAAACGAACCCGAGTTCGCAAAATTCTGAAGATCGGCGAGATATCGTTGCCTCACGATCCGTCCGTCATTTTGCGATTTTTCATGCGCCGACTTTGGATACCAATATTGTCCCGATTTGTTGATCTAAACAAAAATACTCACCAGAAATGTGGGCAATACAGACCGGTGCGAGACCAAACCGGAAATTTGCGACGGCACCAACGAAAAGAAAATTCACGATTTGGACTACATTTTTAAAGAAGTTGAAAAGAAAACTGAAGAAGTATGTTTGATTTTAATTATTAAATATGCAAGTAAAAACCTGAAACTAATAAAAAATTTATAGAAACATATAAAATTCCAAACATGGAGCAGTCTTTATAATTGATGAAGATCAAAATTTTATCAAATTAATTTTAAAGATAATGATAATGTCGATACAGTTGGAATAAAAACATCTGATTATGTTTATGAGATTGGAGTAAAATTGTATGTGTTTAATTTATTATATTTATTAATATTTTAAAAAGTTACTAATTTTTTAAAATTATAAGTTTAAAAATAGTTATGGATCTCAAAAAATCATTAGATTTATATATCATTACGGAAAATGATATTAATGTTAATATCATGAGACCATTATTAGAAATTATCGATTCGGACATACAAATAATATGGTTTGTATATTTTATTTGAATACTTTCTAATTTATATTTTGATATATTATTTTTCGGTAAACTAATAGGGGAGAAGAAAGCAAGATCAACAGAAATACCGTATTTCAAGGACTAAAATACCCTTCTGATCATAATACTCCCCTTAGTTTTTGGTGTGTATTTTTTGTATAAAACCTGAATATTATAAATAAAATAACAACAAATTATAAATTCAAAAAATATAAAGTATCCCCCAAATTAAAACAATATAATATATCATTTTATTTATAAATTCAATAATTGTACTCTTCTCAAATTAAAATGTGATATATATAATACTAATTATCTACATATATTATTATCAATTATTTCATATTTTAGTTGATCCATTTCATATATATTTTCAAATGAATCAATCGAATAATTATCATCATTTATATTTTCTTTACTTTGATCATTAAGTTGATTATAATCAAAAATCCAATTATCTTCTGAACAATTTCACGCAATAGAAATATCACAATATTTGAATGTTCATTTAATTAACTCAGTATCAATATTTTTCCAGGCATTTTTAATCCATTCAACTAAAAGCGCATATGATAGTTTATGAATATGATTAGTTGGAGTAAGTTCATGAATTTTAGCAGATATTCATTCATTGTATTAATCATAAATCTAAATAAATAATAAATAAAAATATTAATAAAAAATTAATAAATAAAAAATAACTATAAATAAGAGATTATATTCATTTTAGCTTTGAAACTTTTATTAATTAATATATTCAAAGATTGAAGCTTCAAAGTCAAATCACCAGGAATTACAGCTAAGTTGATATTTTTTTCATCAAAATAGCATTTAACAAAATCAACAAGATAACCAGCAAAAGAATTTAATACAAGTAAAGATCTTGTATTATCAAATTTATTTTGCTTCTTTTACATATTTTCTATTTATCAAAGCATCTCATATTCATTCAATCTTTATCATTTGTAGATATATTTCTAGTATAATATTCTCTCTCTGATCATAGTATCTCTTCATATAAAATATCTTTATTGAATGCAAAAACTGTATTATACTCCAGATATTTTAGCTCACAAAATATGATAAGTTATTTGCAAGAAGTTGAACAAGTAAATGAATTAAAAATTTTATCAATAAATATTTTGTGAATATTTTAAATATTGTTTATAATATGAATTATTTGTTTTTGAAAAATTTATTAATAAATATTTTAGATATTGCTCATAATATAAATTATTTGTTTTGAAAATATTGGAAAACATCATCTATTAACAATAAAATATAGCAATAATCATATTAAACTACTAATTGTTATATGTAATATATATATCATGCATAAAAAAATTTAATGAATTAAATTTTTGAGTATAAAAAATGTTTATTTATAAAATACTGAAGAGTATCAGAAATAAAAATTTTGCTTGTAAAATTTTTTTGATTTAAAAATTATTTAAAAATGTATTTATATTATTATAAAAATTTACTATTTTCAAATAATGAAAAAAATATTATTTTTTTATTTATAATAATCCAACATATAATAATATTTAATATAAATAATTCTTTTAATATTTCCTGAAATAATTTGAGTTAAATATTTTATTAAAAATACTTTTTTATAAAAAAATTTAAATAAATGATATATGACTCAGAGATATATAAATAACTAATTTTTGAATATAAAAAATATTTGTTTATAAAATATTAAAGAGTATTAAAAATAAATATTTTGCTTATAAAATTTTTTTGATACAAGAATTATTCAAGAATATATTTATATTTTATAAAAAAAATTCTTTTAATTTATTATTTTCAAATGATGAAAAATAAAATTTATTAAAAAACAAAAAAATATCTCTGAATTTGCATAAAATATTTTGATTTAATAAAAATTTTTTTTTGTAATATTAATTATAATTGTCATTATAAGTATAACTATACTATGTAATTATTAATTTCTTAATTAAATAAAATAGATAGAACATATTGATATTAATATTCTATAATTAGTAATAAATTATTTCCTATTTTAATTAATATGATTAGTATAAAATATATATATTATATTTTTTACAATTAGTAAGTACTCTCATAATAAAATATTTTCTTTATAAAGTATTCTAATATTAATTAAGAATATCACTTATCAAGATTATAAAAGATTCAAATATAAATATGAATAAAATAGGTAAAAATTTTTATAAGTTATATATATATATATAAATTTATATTATAATAAATAAGTTTTTCATCATTTTTACTTTACAACAAAAAAATAAAACAAAATTTATTATTTATAAACTTAAAATTCTCAATAACTTTCCTAATGATAAATGAATTTCTTAATTGAATCAATATATTATTATAATTATAATAAAAAAATTATATTAATATATATTTGTATATCAATTTTATTACTTGAATATAATCAAATTAATAGAAAATTATATAAAAAAACTTAATTACAAATCTTTAAAACCAAAAATTAATATAATTATCAAATTTAATATTCTTCATAATTGTTATTATTAAAATCTAAAATCATATTATTGCTAATTTTGTCAGATTAATTAAATTCTTTACCAAAGTTCAGAATCTTATTATTAAATTAACTAGATTCCTTATCCAAATTTAAACTCATGTTATCATTACTAGTTTTATCAATAAACTAATTAGATTCTCCATTCAAATCTAAACTTATACTTTTAGTTTTATTAATAGATTGATTAAATTTCTCACCATTAACAAAAATATAAGATTCAAACTTATATGTCTCAACTTAATTAAAATTAAAAATTAGATTATTTTCAAAATATTACGAGTATTAGAAATTTTACAATATTTAAATATATGCTAAATAAGTATTAAATTAATATTTTTTAACTTATTGAGCAATAATATTATATAGTGATTTTTGAATTCAGCTAATAGATGTCAATTTCTTAATTTTTTTGATTATTTAATTATTATATTGAGTATAAATCTGGTAAATATAATTAAATTAAAATTAAAAACTTTTTAATTCAAAGTTTTCAAAAGTAATTTATCTTTGTTTTAAAAGATTTATTGATTACTATATCTAATAATTGAACTTAGGAAGTTAATCCACTGGGAATTACAACTAAATTTGTATTTTTTCTTTAAATTACTATTTAATAGACTTCACCAAATAATTACAAAATAAATTAAGTATTAATAAAGAATGTGAATTCACAGAATTTGGTACATAATGTTTTTATATATTTTTGATCCAAAATAGTATTTTTTTAGTATTCATCCATTCTTCTTTGTTGATATAAATTTTTAATTCTAATGAAAAGTCAAAATGGAATATATTTTTGAGTTTAAAAATAATCATTAGAGATAACTTGATTCTATTTGCTATACAATCAAGAACAATCGTGAAGTTTGATTTTTCATATTCACAAGTTCTGGTACTGACAATATGTGATCCTGTTTTATTAATAGTAATATTACTTAGCATATCAAATATAAGAAATGTTTTATTTATATTGCTGATTAATTATAATAAATAATCATACAAGATCTTGAGATAATCATTGAGCAACAATAGTTTAACGATGAGTGCTTAAATGATAATGAGTCATAAAATCACTTAGCCATTTATGACTCCAAGTGAAAGTTGAAATATTGGAATAAAGTGACAAAAATTGTGACATTTTTCCTAAACTACTTGTTTTGATTTGGACTATAGTGTGTGTAACTACTTTCAATTGAGCTCACAATGATTGTATCTATTTATTTAATTCATTTTCAAGTTCAGGATATTTTGGATGAAATTCAGTATTTAACCATTGAATATGTGCATGTGCAAGCATTAACTGATTTTTCTTTGAACGCCAATCTCAAAATTGTTTTTGTTCAATTTCAAAGAGATTTGATGTTGCATAAATACTTTTTTGTGTTTTTTCTTGATAAATTATAATAGATAATTTTTCATGAGCATTTCAAGTTCATCATTTTTTTTGTGTTATATTTGATCATGATATGCCAGATTGAAGATGAACCATATTAATATTTTAACTAAAATATTAATAATATTTTATTAGAATATATATAATATGTAAAGACAATGAATAAAAGTAATATATATCTGCTTTAGTTTCTAAAAGATCAAAGATACGTAAAAAATTAAAGACACGTTCTAACAAATTGTTATGCATTAAATTCCTTTTTATAATTAGGACTAGCAGCTAATTTAGATATTAACCGGAAATGAGAAAAAATCATTTTTTTGGAAATTATTTCCATTACTCTAAAATCACTTATTTTTAACTGTATTTGTCTATACCACCGCCAGTACCAATAAAATCATTCTTATTTTATCACCACGCTCCGACAAATTCCATCGCAATTCTAAACACGTGACCCAGATTCTACCCACGATTCCACATAATCTCACCAAAAATTGTGAGAAACTTGTACCGATATTGGTTCAATGTCGTATTTGAAACAATTCCTATTATAGATTTAAATGATTAATCCTTTGGTAAATCGAATAAATAAGCAATACGTAACAATAAGAATGTATTACCCGGAATTCCTTGTTGCCCTTTCTCAGCATCAGGTAAACCGTCACCGAATATTGTTTTTGTCGATGTATGTGATTGGTACCTTGATTTTATGATGTAAAATTTAACAATAATAGATATATCGAACAATATTCTAATTATCACTGACATGTACAAGTAATACGAAAAAATTTCCGAATGTAACAAATATAATCTTAATAAAAGTATACTTACGTGCTTCAGAAATTTCTATACTATTGTCTAACGGGTTGACTAACCGTGGATAATGCGTTCCAAAAGAGAATTCATCAATTCGAAGTGTAACATTATTGAAAAAAATAATTAGATACATGTAGTATAATAATTAGAGTGATACCTATTTAAGTGTGGTATGTTTAGGTAGTGTCCAGTTTGCTGCATTTCTGCGCAGTAATTTACTGCAATTGATTCTACAAATTCTGCAAAAAACGTGCAATATCATTATGATAATCAAATTTAAATTTACTTTTTAATTATTACATGTAGTTATACATTGTTTAGAATTTCGCGTAATCATTTTTATAATCTAAGCTATAAAATCCACATCATTATTATCATTATGTACACAAATCACATTATAAACCATATCGATATGGATTCTGCAAATTCTGCAAATGTAGTAAACTGGACATCCTAGTTTAGGGGTATGAATTCAGATAGCGATAGCGATAGTTTATAAATACATGTAATTTGATTTGATACCTAAATAGTGTCTTATGTGGCAATCAGAGATGTTCAACAAGCATTGCATGAATTCATTGTATCCATGTAAAATTGCACATGCACATGCAAAATCCAGAAATAATAATTTCTAAATATCTGCACCCATCATAATTCACGTGTATAAATCCCACAGTCAGACTTCAAGCACACTCGGAAATTTCTCAGCAAGTCAATTTACCTCCCTCACCAAGAGAAGAGCTCATTTACAAATGATGCCGAGCGAAACACGTAGTGTTGAGCCATTTAACAATGGCATCGAACCTGTGGTTCTTTTCTAACGCGTTGGTTATGATTTATATGATACAATTACAAATCTATTTAGCAAGGTGAGCAAAAATGTCACGTTTGATACAGCAAAAAATAAATTACAGAATCTAAAATTACAAATATTCAAAACAATTAACCAGTCCATTAATTATTTTAATCTCTATTTTCATTTTTCAGATTTGTATTATCTCCACCCCTATTTTCAGCATTACTTTCTCCATAAGAAGTTGATAGAGTCTGATTTCTTACTAAATTTGCTTGGCATCTTCGATCATATTCAGTGACTAAAAAATAGTATTGTGTAATTTAAAATAATAACTTACAAAGCAAGGAGTCGAGTCTTGTCTGGGACAGGCACTTAACGATGTTAAGTGAGACTGAAATTCTTCATAATATCTGGTCCCGTTTCTGCTCCTTTTTCCTTTAGGCTTCCCATCAATGTATAAACACATCAACTAATAAAAATAATATATGAATTGGTTCATGAATGGAATTAACGCTTTGCAGAACACAAAATCTCTAGCTCTATATATAAAAGAGTTTTGATATGAGCTGGCGGGTGCTGAAGAAACAATATGGGTGAATGTACAGAGTATAGAATTTTTTACTTGTATTTTTTTCTTACTTTATGTTCACGTATGAGACTTTGGAATTT